TATGTTCTTTCTTGATATGAGCTTGTGTACGTGGGATACCTTCTGTTTTTGGTAAAGTATTATTTTTGCTTTCATTTATTGCTCAATATCAACAAATTTGAAAATGATGACATTGAATCCTGTTCAAGAATGTGAGATGGGTAGTGAAATAAGATAAAGTAGATTGCCACATCACTGAAGTTGCTGTTCCTAGTGTGTGCTCCTTTTATGTCTTTGGTGTGGCCAACTTGTCTTTTAGAGAATGATAGTTTTAGCCAGATAGTTAGATTCTCTAAATTCGATTTGAGAGGCCATACTGAGTATTGCGCCTGCTTGAACTTGGACTACAATGAAATCTTCTTTATATTTTTAGGGGGATAGGGACTGGGAGGGGGTGTTAGGTGTAGTGGTCTTCAATTTTTCGATACGTAGTGCTTGGGATCATAAGTAGATAGTTTTCATACCTTGTATGTTTTTAGACCACTTTCTGATATTACCAGTTACTGCTGATGATCGGGTGCTCTTTGTAGAGAACCATGTCTTTTTATAAGGTTCTCTTATAAAAAGATATGGTTCTTGGTCATCATGGTTTTTAAGGTTCTCTATGTGGTATAAATCTTGTATGTATGATTTTTCCCATCTTTTCAAAAAAATCACTACCTTCATCAAAAAAAGAAAAAAAAGAAAAAAAGAGAAAAAAAAGCTAAACACCATATATCAAAATATAAAAAGGATTTGGGATTTGCCCTTTGCCTTTTCCAGCTCTGTAGGTAAGATACTGTGGTAGGCTTAATTCCCACAAGATGTGGAGAAAACTTTAACTGCTTACTGCCATCTCAAAAAAAAAACTTTAACTGCTTACTTTGTTTCATGATTATAATGCATTTACTGCTGCTTCAGGATCCATTTCATTTTTCACCATATAACCATCAACTTTACATTGATGCCTCATGGTAATAATGCACTCTCTTATATTTATATTTTATGTTGATATACTTTGAAAACATTATAAAGCTTTGTGATTATCCTTGTTCCTAACACATTCCGACGTCTTAAATTGAAGTTATTGGTAAAACTAAAACATGGTGTTCTACTTTGGCAGGTCCTGTAGATTTACATCGTATGCTAATTCCTTTTATTCTTCACTTCTAATTATGATTTTACAAACCAATATAGTCATTGACTAAATAACTCTCTTCTATTTAATGATTTAATTTACATCCCCTTTCAAAGTTTCAGCTTTGTTAGTAATTAGTATGATAGTGATGCCTTTTACCAGTTGGTAAGTTCTCTAATTCGTGCATGGTAAGTTTTTGTGTCATGTGAGCTCATGCACGATAAGGCGGCCTCTCTTCATTAATTGTGTAAACTATCAGGATTTTGATTTTTTATTTGTGACTGTGGATCTGCAGTCCTCCGGAAGATGCTCCAAAGCAGGGGGTGTAACATTATTTGGCAGGTATGGCTACTTGGGTTCAGATAGTTATGTGGAGTTGCAGCCTATTGATGGAACTAACGAAACCCATTACAGGAGGACACTCAGAAGTCGAAACCTGACAACTGATCCTAAAGAAAATGATAAAGAGAGGCTTGATATATTCTCAGATGCCCAGCAGGAAGAGTATCTGGATCTTGAAGAGGGAGAGATAATTTCTGAAGTAATGAATGAGAAAACCATTAAAAGGAGAAGCACTTGTTTTGGCAAATCGCAAGTCAGTGAAATGAAGAATTTTGCTAATGATAAAGATGTGGAGGGAAAGGACAACCCTAAAATTTTGGAGATCATGGCGAAGATGGAAAAGCGTGGAGAGCGTTTCAAGCAGCCTATTGCTCTTAAAAGTGATTCAAAGAATCTCTCTAAGCCTTCCGTTGATTTGTTTACTGGCACGACTGAAGCTATGCAACCAAGACCAGCACGAAAGAGGAGATGGGTTGCAAGTGAGGCCAACTAAAGTTTCATCAAATGCCATTGGCTGTGTGGTCATATTAGAGGATCTGCCTCTTAGTTCACCTTCATAACTGGATCTGTATAGTGGCATTCCACCTACAAAATGGCTGCTGATGGTATATCTGGGGTTAAGAAGAATACTTTTCCCATGAAAAGAGGGAAAAAGAAAACACGTCTAATAAAGGATATTGTTATGTCTCTGCTAAACTCCGTTTTTCCTCTTAAAAGTATAATCGATTATTTTGATGTCAAAAGGGTTGCTCATAGCAGGCTACCAGTGATGGTATGATTTGAGTTCTTAGAATTCCCAATTTTACAGGAGGAAGCCATTGGTGGCTCCATTGTATAATGTCTCAAGTCTTAGGTTTGTCATCTTTCTTGTAGTTCCTTAAAGAGGTTTTGGAAGCAGTGGCATGGAAATAGCTATTCCTGTTCGATGCAGTGGGTCGGAGCTTTAGGTTCAAATAGCCAGCTCGCATGAGATATTTGTCTTCTGCTTTACAATAGGAAGGCTTATTTTTCATTTTGCTTTCCTTGTTTATTAAGTTAGTACGTAGAACAATTGACTCGAGGATAATATAGTAAGTCCAGAAGTAACATTTTGGTGTCTAGATTATAGTAAGTCGTGGAGACTTATGGGTAGTTGGACGCCATTTACAGAATACATTTCACCACTTGACCTGGGTGAAAATAAGAGGAAAAGAAATTACTTATGTGCTATCTGCAACTTCTTATTCAGCTTTTCGGTAGTTTGGGTGTATAAACACTGATTTTAAGGGGCTACCTTATCGCAGCTATTGTAGTTTCGACTGGGTTTCTTTTCCTTAGCCATTGTGATACTAAACACAGTTGTCATTTTTGAGCATCTACATTATTTTCGTGGTAATTGTAGCAGTAATAATTGTATTTCAGATAAGTGATGTAGAAGAGACTATCTCATGCGCTTATTTATTTTGTGGATGAGGGATCTAGAGGAGATACTGCGTCTGTCAATGTAATTGAGTATTCAAAAGTCTTTGCCCTGCGCACTACTAAAGTATTGCTGCAAATAACACTCCTTGATGAGTACAGTGAACTATCATAGCTAAGGCCTGAGCATGAAAGTCCGAAATGTTTCTAATGTCACTAGGCAGAACCTTCTACTAAAATGGTGCAATTTTGAGAATAAGAAAGGTCATCAGAGGATACATATAGCCCGGCCATAGTCATGCACCATGGGATAGTGCCGATGAACTGTTTTAGCTTAAAGCACACTCAAAACTATTGTCCATTCATCTACTGTCCTTGCATTAACAATTTCACGAGTGTCAAAGCTGGACAGAAAAGTAATTCGAACTAATCTGAATAATCCCGACAAAAACCAAAATTGATTATCCAGTTAGTAAACCAAAGGTAAACGTGACGTAAGGGTTCAACCCTGAGAGCAATTGCAGGATGAGAGATCAAAGGAAACTGTTTGAGTGCTTGTTTTTAAGCTTCTCGCCGAAAAAGATGTGCAGTAGTTTTAGTCACTTCGCCTTCTATTGCTCGTGGGGGTGGTTTGCTCTGAAAGGAGTTTCAAAACATTCACCAATGCCCGTAGACGATCCCAGATGTTCAAACCATAAAGAGCCTCCACAAGAGATTCTTGAAACTCGAATCCATTCTCAGCAACAGGATACTGCAAAAAGATGGGGTAAATGACATGAAATGCATGAATGATAGAATGATTTTAGAAGATGTGGAACTCACCTGAATAGGCTTCGGTATCTTGGTTTTAATAAGAGGCCACCACCGGTCCTCCACAACTGATTTTACAAGACAACAAGCTCGCAATCCTTCAATACCAGCAAATCTTCCAAATCCGCTGTCTTTTACACCGCCAAATGGCAGGGACTGCATATCATTATTCAGAAGAAGGGTTGAGAAGGGGCGCAATATGAAAAGAAACATGAAAAAAGGGATGTCGGGAAGGGGGATGGCGTTAACCAAGTAAGCTGGGAGGTCCAAATATTTAAACCAAAGTCAGTTTTAAGGGATAAAGTTTGGGACTTTTGATGTAGTTGGCCTTTAGAAGAGGGAGATGTCAGGGTTAGACATGGTGAAGCTTCAGGACCGATGATGGGAGCAGAAAGGTCATGAGCCTCACTAATTGAGAATGGGGTTAAGTCATGAGGGGAAAGGTAGCTTTGGATTAGGTTATGCCATTAAGGGTTACTTTGGCAGTTGAAGAATGGGGGTAAGTCATGATGGAAAGGATCTTTTTGATCTCTTTTGATGTGAAGGTTAAGAAATAATAAGACCATGTGTTTATTGTTCTCTTTTAAGTTACAATATAACATCTTCTCTCGGCGCACGTTAACGTGGCCTAGCTAACGTGCGCTTGGAAGCCATGGGAGGGAGAGGAAGACCTAAGAAAAACCAGACGAAGATTCCAATCAACAACCAACGATCAACAGAAACGAGAAATGCTGTATTAGAACTGTTTGTGTCACCAAAAGGGATACGAATTGAAGAACCAGCTGGAAATTGCACTCCCAGGAGCATGCAGAGTGAGATGAGCAAGGAGGAAGTAGATCTATCACTTGATAAAGGCAAATCGAAGGAAATGGCTGTTACACCTGTAGCTGTGCAAGCTGTAGGTGGTGGATCTGGTAACGGGAAAGCTCAAACACAAGGAATAAAGTCGATCAAAAATGGAACAGTACCATGCAGCTCAAGTACTGTTGAAAGTGGAGGAAAAGGTGAGACAAGGAATGAACAGAGGAATCAGACCTGGGCAAATGTGGTGGTAGGTAACAAATTGGCCATGAAAGGTATGAATTTACAGTTCATAGCCCCGGTAGTTCAAAACGGTGAGAAAATAGCGAAATTAGAAACTGAAGATGTTGAACTAGAAACTGAGAAATGGAGATCTGCTATTGTCCTGTACGTGATTGGGGAAACGCCTACTATTGGAGCAATGGATAGATTTCTGAGCTCAGTGGGAAGTTCTCACCTAAGCCGCAGATCTATTACCATAATGAAGGATACTTTGTGATTAGATTTAGCAATTTGGAGGAAAGAGACCAGGTACTATTTTCTGGTCCTCACACAGTCAACAACAAGCCCATAATCATGAAAGCATGGTCAGAAGATTTTAATATACAAGATGAAGTTTTGAAAACTATTCCCTTATGGGTGAGATTCCCTAATCTACCTATCAATTGTTGGAGTATGAAAGCATTGAACAAGATAGGTAGCACATTGGGGAGTCCGGTGTATGCTGATGAATGCACTACTGGCTCAATTAGGATTTCCTATGCACGAATGCTAATTGAAATGGATATCACTAAGCCTCTACCTAGGTCTGTGAAGCTACAAGACCCTAAGGGGAGGATAATCCAGCAGGAAGTTACTTATGACTGGGAGCCAAAATACTGCACAAAGTGTCTGAAAATAGGGCATGATTGTGCTGAGATTAAAACAGCTCAACCACAAAGGATGATTCAGCAGAGGAAGGTGACAAAAGGTAAGCAAGTATGGCTTAGAACAGATAGAGATGGTGGAAATGAGAAGAAGGTGAATGAACAGCAGAAAATAAGTGAGACTACTCAGCAGTCAGAACCAGAATCAAAAGACAAAGATGCACAAAAAAAGGATGAGGGGTGGATAACAGTCCTAGGAAAATCAGCAGCTAGGGCAACTAAGGCTAAACAACCTGAGGAGCAGGAACTAGCTGGGAGCAATGGATTCCAAAGCTTGGCAAAGGACCAAATACATGATGAACCAGGTACAAGCAAAATGCAGATGAGGAGCTCAGAGGTGCAGGAACTGTATCATCATCCCTATTTTATACCGGTATGAGTGTGATAACATGGAATGTTAGGGGGTTGAATAAAACATACAAGCAAAAGGAAGTAAAGGAGTTTATAAAAGGGAATAATAAAACAGTTTATAGCATTAGTAGAGCACAGAGTAAAAGAGAACAAAACAAAAGAGGTGATCAAAAAGATTGCACCTGGATGGGAATGGGTATGGTGCAAGTCATAAGGGTAGAATATGGGTAATATGGGACCCTAGGATATATGCATTTGAATCAGTGGAAGTAGATGAACAATTGATACATGGTCAAATCAAAATCATCTCAAAAGCAGTCATGTTTGGTTTTTCAGCAATATATGGTCTACATACTATTAAAGACAGATTGATGTTATGGAGTAAGATGAGACAGATTCATAGCATTCAAAAAGGTCCTTGGCTAGCTATGGGGGACTATAATGCTGTTTTACATCCTCAAGATAGACAATATGGATCTGAGGTACAAGAGATGGAAATAAAAGACTTCAAGGAGTATATGAGGGACACGGGGATGAATGAATTACAATATGTGGGAAGGAGTTACACATGAACCAACAATCATACTTATAGTAGGATAGACAGGGGACTTGTGAATGTCACCTGGATGATGACTATGCCAAATGTGAAAGTACAGGTGCTAGAGCCAATGATATCTGACCACTCACCACTGAAGCTAGTGATTACTCAGGTACAAGGAAAGAAGAACAGGCCATTCAGATTCTTCAATTGCATTGCTGATCACCCACAATTCATGCAACAAATTGAGACAGCTTGGAAGGAAAGGAGTACAAAAGGGATAATGCAGACAGTATGGCATAATCTCAAAAGTGCAAAGGAGGTAATCAAAACAATAAATACACAGCACTATAAAGGGGTTGATGAAAGGATAAAGGAGAGTAGGAGGGAGTTACAGTTGGTGCAAGAGGAAATGAACCTTAGCCTACAGAATAAAGAACTGATTGAGAAAGAGAAAGCATTGAAGTGTGAATTAGAAAAATGGGCAAAGATTGAAGAGAGTATATACAAACAAAGATCCAGAGTACAATGGTTGAAACTAGGGGATTCAAATTCAGCCTATTTCTTTGCACAAATGAAGAACAAGAACCACTTGAATGGAATCCAAAGTCTAACAAATGATGTGGGAACTCAGCTTGTAATGGAGGATGATATAGAAGCAGAAATATTAGGGTACTACAAGAAGCTACTGGGATCCAGAGCTGGAAGTATTCCAGCTATCAACCCAAATGTCATGAAGCTGGGTGCAAAATTAAAAAGGGATCAGCAGATTCAGCTGATCAAGAAGCCAGTAACCAAGGAAGAAGTATGGGCAGCCCTGAAGGATATTAATGACCTAAAAGCTCCAGGTTATGATGGGTTTAATGCTGTGTTCTTTAAAAAAGCCTGGCAAATTGTAGGTGAGGATATAACACAGGCTGTATTGGAATTCTTTGAAACAACCCATATGTTCAAACCTGTTAATTGTACAGCAATCACTATAGTCCCTAAAGTCAGGAACCCTGTTAATGTTAAAGAATACAGGCCTATCTCATGCTGCACTGTATTATATAAAGTGATCTCCAAGGTATTAACTAAGAGGTTGCAAGGAGTTATGGATATACTAATTGACAACACACAGTCTGCATTTGTACCTGGTAGAGTAATTACTGATAACATTATCCTGAGCCATGAATTAGTGAAAAGGATATGGAAGGAAAGGGGTGTCACCTAGATGTATGATGAAATTGGATATGCAGAAAGCTTATGATTCAATTGAATGGTCCTTCATGGAACAGGTGCTGAACGCTTTGGCTTTCGCAGACCAATTTGTGAGGTGGATTATGGCATGTATGGAATCTATTACTTATAGAGTTATGATCAATGGAAATCCGACAAAGCCCTTTGAAGCCAAGAAGGGGTTGAGGCAAGGGGACCCAATGTCTCCATTCTTGTTTGTTCTGGCAATGGAATACCTAACAAGGAGCCTAAAGACACTGAATCAGATCCCAGACTTCAACTATCACCCCAAGTGTGCAAAGATGCAAATCTTGCAACTTGGTTTTGCTGATGATCTTTTATTGTTTTGCAGGGGAGATATAGGATCAGTTAAATTACTGTTCCATTGCTTTATGGAGTTCTCAAAAGCTTCTGGCCTGGTGATTAACAAAAACAAGAGTTCTATATTCTTTGGAGGGGTCTCACAAGCTGCACAAGAGGAAATCCTAGAATTTCTAGGAATTCAGAGAGGGGAACTGCCAGTAAGATACCCAGGTGCCCCACTAAGCTCAAAAAGGATAACCATAGTATAATGCCAGCCTCTAATTGATAAAATAGTGGGCAGAATAACTTCATGGATTGCCAAATTCCTATCCTATGCTGGAAGGATTCAACTGATAAAGAGTGTCTTGTTCTCTATCCAAACCTACTGGGCACAAAACTTTGTGCTCCCTAAAAAGATCACAAAGCTAATTGAAGCAATATGTAGAAGTTTCCTGTGGACAGGAGAAGGCAATATTTCAAAGAAGGCTCTATTGGCATGGGAGAAAGTTTGTCTGCCCAAGTCAGCTGGGGGATTTAACATTATGAACATAACCATCTGGAACAAAGCTGCCATATGTAAGCAATACTGGAATCTTTGCAAAGAAAAGAAGAAGTTGTGGATACAATGGATGCATAGTTACTATATCAAAGACAAGCACATATGGGAAATACAACTGAAACAAACATCTCGGATGGTGAGTAAGATCATGAAAGCAAAGAAGACATTTATGGAAGCAGGTTCCAGCTATGATGAAATCATGAAGATGAATAACTGTTCGATTAAAAACATATATCACAGACTGCAAGGAAGATTTGACAAAGTCAGCTGGAGAAGAGTTGTATGTCACAACACAGGATGCCCTAGGTGGACTTTTATACTAACTATGGCAGCACATGGCAAGTTATACACAAGAGATAGATTACAGAGCTGGGGAGTACGAGTGGATCAAGAATGTGTTCTGTGCAAGCAAGCAAATGAAACCATACAGCACCTGTTCTTTGAATGCTCTTATGCAAACACATTATGGAGCACACTGTTAACATGGCAAGGGATTAAAAGATCAGTAAATGGCGGGGATGAGGAACTAAGATGGGCTGAGTTGTGGACTAAGAGGAAAACAGCAGCAGCTGAGTTATATAAAATGGCACTAGCAGCAACAGTGTACTATGTTTGGCAAGAAAGGAATGCTCGAATTTTCCAAGCTAAGGCAAAAGAATGGGAGTTAACATGCAAGAAGATTATACAAGAGCTTCATTGTCGAAGTAGTAGGCATACTGAGAAAATCCTACATAGACTAGACTGGTACCCATTGTAATAGGTAGGAATGTGTAAATAATAGGAAACGGGATGGGATGAAGTAAAGGAAAGCAGGATAATATGTAAGGGTTCTGATTTACTTGTAAATATTTCCCTGGTAATGAAAAAGCTAATTACCAAAAAAAAAAAAAAAACTTTCAAGTAGGACAGTTAGACTTGAGCAGAGGGAACCTTGATATACATAAATAGTAATAATGGAGAAAAAATAATTACGGCAATCACCAATGGAGTTCTCATGCAGATGTCACAGGGTATTGTCTGAGGTTCACAAAATTATCGCTAGTTTGTAATCATACCTCAGTCATCTTGAAGCAAATAGTCACATATAAGTATGCCAAACTCTTGATAAAATGCCTCAAGAGTTTGATGCCTACACTTCAAGTACCTGACACATGTAACTTGATGCGAAGTCATTGATAGCAGCCACTCCACAATGTAATTGTGAAGCTATCTGCTTAGCACCGCGCTGACTGCCTGAAAATACAGCACAACCAAGTCCATATTTTGAATCATTTGCAAGCTGAACAACTTCTTCATCAGAGCTGAATTTCATTATTGGCAATATTGGTCCAAAAGCCTGCGAGCAATTAGCAATTTCCATATGGAGTTAACCAGACCACCTTTATCCCTGTAGTAAACTAAAACAAAAGAAAAAAATATCAAACTGATGATACCTCCTCCTGCATCAACTTCATGGTGTGATTTACGTTTACAATCACAGTAGGAGGGAAGTACTGATCAACAGCACCTTCGCCAATATTGCCTACACTTCCTCGAGCAACAATTTCAGCGCCTTTGTCTAGGGCATCATTTACCAGGTACTGGAGCTTTTCAGAATGCTCTTGCATGCATATGGCTCCCATGTCATACTTCCCAGATAGAGGAGGGCCCTACAATAATATTTTCAGTTTTTATTATATAATTATTTTAGAAAATCAGACTACATCAGCAAAATCACTAATATTAATGTAATTAACAAGAGAATAAGTAGTTTTATGCTTAGGCTTCAGGAAATTATTTTTTTGGAGAAAGGTAACAGTTAGGCTTCAGGAAATTATTATGTATTTATCTCTCAATTCTGGGCAAACTCATACTTATAACGCTCACAATTAGCAGCATACTGGAAACTGAACAAGGATGAAAATGATATATTGGGAGCTGAACATTCAGATAAGATCAGTAAGCCATCTAACTAAGAAGTCAAACAACCATTATATGCAAAATGCTATGTCTCATGAAGAATAAAGATCTTATAATGCATCGAGTTGAAAATGAGGCAAAAAGGAGAAAAGATACATACAGCAGTAACCGATTTCACAATTTTAACTACTTCAGCAACAAAAGAAGAGTAAATGTCCTTGTGAACATAAAAACGTTCTGCACCAGCACAATTCTGCCCACTTGATTGGAGAGCTGCTCTGGCTGCAACTTGTGCAACCTGCATTAAGTTTGATTATTTCTTTAAAGGCTCATGAAATAAAGGTATAGTTGAATGATCTTCTTTCTTTAACTTCTCGTAGAGATATTTGAATGATCTTATCATAGTGGAAAGTAATCAAATGTACTTTATCCCCAAAAAGAAAGCAGACTGGAAAAATTTATACATGTGGCACATCGACATCTTCACAGACAATAAATGCATCTTTTCCACCAAGCTCAAGGGTAACTG